GATAAGGCTTAAATAATGTGCTAATGATGATGAACAAAAAAATGTATTTAACAAACAGAAATGTCGACATAGGATTTATGTAGCCAACCAATCCAATCCATATAGTTGGAATAAGGCCAAGGTTTAAAATATCGATATGCCCGATACGCCGGTAGGGGCATATCTGGCGAATCGATACTGCTTTTTGGTGTGTTTTTTTTTTTTCACATCCAATTCAGGGGGCTGGTGTAGGGCTCTTCCACCCCCTAAACCAGTCAAACCCCCGATACACCCACTATAGGGGCATATCGGAGGGGTCTTGGAATGATACATATTGACCTATACGGGCCAATACTTCGAACCTTGGATAAGGCTTGGATGATAATGCTAATGATAATGAACCAAACAAACACATTTAACAATGATAGTCCACCAATAACCAAATTAATTAATGAATAAAGATAGTTCAAACTTTTACAAGAATGACACATTTTTCCATCACTCCTAAGACCAATCAATTGTTTAGGTTTTGAAGGTCACTCTTATTTAGAGCAGAAATGGAAACAGCTCAGGTATCAATAATTAGGGCGGTGCAGGTTTGGTATTGAAGTGGTATTTCCAAAGGCATTTCTACTATGTTAGCACCATATAGGTCTCTTTTTCTTGTTGGATTGAGTATTTTCAAGTTTCAAGCAACACTAAATGCCTAGATTTATGTGAAAACAACTCTGGAATTTTATGAGAACAACTTTTGATGTTTTTACAATGGAAACAATGTTTTTAGCTTTTTGCCCATGTGGCACCTAATCAACACCCAATAACAGTATAAAATATAGGGATTATAGTTGATAAGGGCAACTTTTGTATCCTAATATCAATAAAAATAATCATTTTAATATAATTTCTAAAATACGTTGACTTTTTAAAAAATATATCAAATAAGGGCAAAAACACTATTTATCTTCTTCCTCCAAACAAACTAGTGGTGAGTCGCCTAAACCCAAAAGATTTTCGACGACACAAAGCACCCAGTGGTTGGCATCATTGAACAGTGGCCCACAACTCACCACTAAGCACCCGCGACTCGGAGGTGCTTAGTTGCCTGAACCTAGAGGATTTTTGATGCCCCATCTCTCTTGAGATTATAATTGACCCTATAACCGAATCAACCAGGCAGACCTACGATCTCTCATCGATTCAAAAGTTGCTCAGGGCCGAACACAACACCTATCCCAAAACATGGGAGAAGCTAACAAATACAGAGTTAGTCCCCAACACGACTCTCAGAAAAAGCCTCATCTCTCTTCCCCTCCTACCGCCTCCACATGAAGCCATTTTTCTTCTAGAGGAAAAATGATTCAAAGAAACTCCACATCAACAGATTGGTGGTAGTCATTGGTGTAGTAGAGGCATGTCGTCAGATTGGTGTTGCCGGAGGTGGACAGAGGTGGCGGTGGCAGCATTGGTGGATGATGGTCATTGAAATTCGCAGGGGCAGAAGTGGTTTGGAGGAGGAGGAAGATGAATAGTGTTTTACCCTTATTTGATATATTTTTTAAAAAGTTAACCTATTTTAGAAATTATATTAAAAGTATTGTTTTTATTGATATTAGGGCCCAAAAGTTGCTCTTATGAGATATAATCCCTAAAATATACTTGAAAACCTGAAATTAATTTCCCCATTCCAAGGCATGCCAATTAAGGGTGCTCATGAAAAACTAAAATTTTGAAACTGAAAAACCAAAGTTGAATTGAATAAACCAAATTGATGGTTTGATTTTTTGAAAAGAAAATTAGTTTTCAGTTTGGTTTCAGTTAACCTAATAAAAAAACAACGGTTAACTAAACTGACCGGTATATATAGTATGTAGGGAAAAAGAATTTAGCCTCCCTTGAAGTTGCAGTTAAATACTTACAAGAGAGGACTAAAACCTCCCTTGGAAGAATAATATGTCGTTATGTTTTAACAAAATTAGGCTCCGTTTGACGCATCTTTTTGTGTGGTCTATCGGTTATTTTCAAGCCTGTCGGGCCGTGATTCGATCTTTTCCCATTAGTTTGTGGCAGATCTAACCATCAAAAGCTGATGCATCGAAAAGACGCGAGAAGCCCAAATCGGGCGATTTTTGGGAAGCTCCAAAATGGAGTTTTTGCATTTTTTTTATATTCGTCTTCGCGTGGAAAGACGCACCTTAACCAAATGGGCTTTAGGCTACTCAGATCTTAATGCAAAATCTTAATGTGTCTTTTGATTGTCAAATCTACTAGAAGAATTTCCCAAAAAGACTTGCCAAACACTCCCTTAGTAAAAAGACAATTTTGCCTTTTCAACACCCTTCAAATTTTCAAAGAGAGCCACTGATATTGGATCAAATTCATCATTCATGTGTAGTTGCTGCCACTTGGGAAAACCAAACCTTTTTGCCCTTCACCCAATCTACTACCTATTGGTAGTAGCACAAAAACAAAGTCAGTTTGAGTGTAAGCATTCCATCTCCGATCCGAAGAAGAAAAAGAAATCCCAAAGAAGAAAAAACAACCCAGAAAAAAAAAAAAACAATTGCATCTACTGCTACATAAAAAGGCAAGAATGTAAGCAAACCATTAATACCCCAATCAAAAAGAAAATTAAGTACCTGAGTATTAGGAAAATCTAGCATTAGTTCTTACCGTATTTTCCATAAAAACTCCCAAAACCTCAGTTTAGATTAAATAGGGATGCTAGGTAACCCCAATTACAAAAAAATGCGAATGAAAATTTATCTTATGTTATATCTTTAGCAGAGAAGGCAAATTAAAGAGAAACAAAATATGGAGATAAGTATCTCAAAAAGAAGAAACTCACAAAGCAAAACCAATATAACTTGAAGGGGCAACTTTAGGTTCCTATAAAAATTTCACTAGGCCATGACGTCAATATGCAAACAGTTATTTAGACTCAATTTAGAAGGAGTACAAATACAAATATGTATAATGTTTATAAATCTGTGTATTTTGTATTTTGTATATGTTTACGCTTCACATATTTGTATTTGTACTATTTCAAAACTAAGCCTGCCTTACAGATGGCTAAAAGAGGGGAGGTGCTTGATGACATCACCTGATAGGGGAAGTCATAGTCTATATCTCTAGATTAGAAATATGCATTTAAGTCATACCAATTATATATTATAAATTACAAATGTTTACTTTCAAACTCTTTTCCCACCTAAGGCTGAAAGTTTCAACATATGCATTTAAGTCCCCATATCACTTGGAGTCTACACTTCAAAGACTATCATACCACTTCGAAGATAGTCATACCTAAACAGTCTAAAACTAAAAACGACCATAGCTATTTGGTGAAAAAATAACCTAGCTATTTATTCGTCATTTACTACCCATATTTCTAATTTCTCTTGTTTCTACTATAGGAATGAATTGGTAATTTGTCTTGTCCTCTACCACACAAACTCGCTTAGAAGACTTGGGAAATTGATCTGACGACCAAAGGAGTGAAGAAGCCCCATACGTTCAATAGTAAATATAAATATGAGGTTTTGGAGCAACGTTGTTATAACAATAGACTGTGGAGGCTTAATAGGATTCTTTGAAGATACTAACATGTACTTCATTCACAAGAGAGTTATAGTCAAGGTGTTTGGTTTCGTTTATGTTTATTCAATAAATGTTTATTGTCGGTGCCACATAGGTGCCATCTCAGCATTTTCTCTCTCTCTCTTATTCTTTTGCATGCATCGAAAATGTAAAAAGTGAATTTTGGTTTTTGTGCATGCCAACCATTTGTGGAAGTTATTTTTTAAAGCTTCCACAAATGGCCAGACATTTATTCACTGTTACAATGATGTGACGCCTAGTTGTCATAAACGGTTGCAATTATTGCATTTCTCGGTTTTACCAAAAAATAAATTACAAATGTTTATTCAATAAACATAAGCGGAACCAAACACATACGGTATGTGTTTGGAATCGTGGGCTTTTATTTACTAAACATTTATATTTGATTTGTTTGCAAAATTGAGAAAAACAATAATGAATTCGTTTATTGATACTTAGGTGCCACCAGGTGGCATTATGCACCATATCAGCAAAACAGTGAATAAGTGCCTACCTGTTAGGGGAAGCGCTAAAATGAAATTTCCCCCAATGATAGGCACACACACAAGTCAAGGCTTGCTTTTGCAAGCCTCTATGCGTATAGATCCACATAGTAGGGGAAATGTTGAAATGACACCTATGTGGCAACATTTTGATAAATGCCTACTATAAAATATCCACAGGATAAAGTACATGCATAGTTATGACCAAGATAAGTGACTTTTTATTCTTCTTTTTCTTCTTTCTCTTCACATCTCTCTAACTCTTAGAAAGCCGAAAACCAAAGAATTAAACTAGTCAAAAGCCAAAAGCAATCAAAATTAACTGATTAATACAGTTCGATTTTGGTTAAGAGAATTTCAAAAACCAATAGTGCTGAGTCAATTTAAAAAAGAACTCACAATTTGGTTGAGCACCGCTGGATTGCCCATTATTTGAGAAAACGGCAATGCTTCCAAACATTGAGTTCAAATCTGCCCCCATAGAATGCACCCTAAAAATGCCTTACATCACATTCCAATTGTATATTTGGAATATCTCCTAATGGAGATCACATCTCTGCTCCACAAGGTCCCACAACACATTCCTGTATTGTGAACATCTCCTGATTATATATGGAGATGTGAATTCCACCTAATGATAAATACGAATATGGGAGATGTTCTTAATAAACACTGAGATGTGCATGCGATGAGTTTTTGTGATGGGATTCGGTCAGTGCAAAAGTCAATTAGAACAATCATCATAGCCTTGCATTGGGAATATAGTACGGAGATGTTTCCGATGCAAGGCTGTACAGGCTATTCGAATAGTGTTCGAACGGGCCTTCACTGACTGAAGCCGACCTCGGAGTTTTTGGAGCGCATCCTGTGGGGGCAGATGTGAACTAACCAATCATCACCTAGATTAAATAAGAGGGAGAGGAAGAGAGCGTGGAAAGATGAAAGGTTTCTTCTTAGCGATTTCATTGATTGCGTCGCTGTTCATTCGTCTCTCTACTTCGTCAGAATCGTCGCTTTATCGCAGTTTGCAGACCAGCGTTTTATTCCCTCTTTACTTGGATAGTTGGGACGACCGACGAGCTCCCTTTATTTGCGCATTGACCATTTAATCCCTTTCTATTTCAGACAATCCCCATGTTGCCCTTAAAAAGTTCTAAGAAAACCAGTTGATAACCGTTATAATCAATGAATCTATGCTATCCCAAAAAAGCACCGAGAGAGAGAGAGAGAGATTAGCGGAACTAACGGAAGTTAAAGACGTTGATGGTTTGTTGACGGGCTTTGACTGAACCACCAGCGCTGGAATCAGTTCATGCGCGGGGGTAATTTGAAAAGGGGAAGAAGACTTCTAAACAACTGTACTGCTTCTGCTTGTACCTTCTCTGTTTTCACTCTAGGGTTTCTCTAGAGCTTCCAATTCCAAACGGTAGTGGGACACAGGGTCTCGTAGTTGATCTGTTGGACACTAATTATGTGGCGGTCTTTTTGGAGATCTATCGATCGCTTCTCCGTTCAACACTTCAAGTACGTTTAAAGCGAATGAATGCATGAATCTTTCGGATCTCAGTTATTGTTGCTTCTTTTATGAAATTGCAAATAACCTAGTTGCGTAAAACTCGCAATTGATGTTCATTTTGTTTTTGGGCAAAACTTTTCTTGGATCTAGTTGATTATTGGGAAACTGAGACTGCTTCGTTTGATTGGATCTAGTTGATTCTATGAAATATATAAATGCAAATACAATGCGTAGTTAATTAAACTTGGTACTCTGTGCTTCTTCATTCATGCATTACTTTTGGGTTTGAGAAAGTTTCTATGCCTACAATGCCTGCCCATTTTAAGGTACTTGAGTTTCGCTTAATTAATCCTACGTCCACTGCATTATATACTTAGATTGATGAATTAATTCTACTTTTGCATCAATTGTTTCAATGGAAAATAGTTTAACGTGGATAACATGTTAAATTATGTGGATATTAAGGGATATTGGGATACCCGAATCAAAACATGGTTTCCACCTGACAAGGAAGTTCTCCATAGGCATGAATCTCAAGGAGAATCCAATAGCAAAGACCTCAATGAACTTTTCATAAGGGCATTTTGTAACATTACATGACTAGACTAGGCTTGTTGATGCAATGCAGTAATATTAGCTCACATAGGGATCCAAGATAATGGGATGTTCAATTTGGAAATAGGATAGGCTTCTACTTACAATAATCTTTCTGTGAAGACCTTTGGTTGACAAATGTTACTTGAGTAGTTAGGTTCCCTTCAGCTTCCAGCCTATCAAATGGAGTTGAAGGAACTCATTGAGGCTGGGCTCCTAGCTCTCCCAATATGACAATCTTTTGTACCAATCCCCTATATATATATAAAGGAAAGCCCTCCAACTAGAGAGCTTCTCCTTCAGACACATGGCATTCTATTTTTTTTTTAAGAGAAAAACAATATCCAAGAAATAGGTACTTTCCACTCTCAAATAGAAGCTTTTTTGCTCAGACACGTATCTATCCACTCTCATAAAAAGTGAGAGTAGTTAACTCTGCTTTCAGAAAAAGTGCCAACTATATACATGTGGCTATCCATCAAAAAACACACTTCAAAAGATGTGGAACTCATATTAGTTTTTCTAATTCAAGTGGAGAAATTGGATGAAGGTCTGCTACTCAAGTGGAGAAACACTTCAAAAGGTCTGCTATCCATCCAAGTGGAGAAATTAGATGAAGGTCTGCTACTCAACTCCTAGATTCTCAGTGCTAGTAAATGGGACAGCTAAAGGATATTTTAGGAGTTCTAGAGGTTTGAGGCAAGGGGACCCATTGTCTCCTCTTCTTTTTTTAATAGTAATGGAAGGTTTGAATAAGGTGGTAGATAAAGCTGTGGAGAGGGAGCTGCTGGAAGGCTTTCAGGTGAATCCCAATGGAACTGCCATTCCAATTCTACAATATGCTGATGACACTATTTTCTTTTGCAAGGCCTCAGAAGAGAAAGTTCTGAATTTGAAGTATATTCTTTACTGGTTTGAGATTATTTCAGGTTTGAAAGTAAACCTTGCAAAAAGTGAGATAATAGCTGTTGGTGATGTTGCTAACATTCAGGGTATGGCAGACTTGTTAGGCTTCGAGGTTGGTCAACTGCCATCAAATTATTTAGGGTTGTCTTTGGGAGCTAAATGCAATTCAAAAACCATTTGGAACCCAATATTGGAAAGAATGGGTCAGAAATTGGCCACTTGGAAAGCAAGGTATCTCTCCAAAGGAGGAAAAGTAGCTCTCATCAAGAGTGCCCTAGCAAGCTTACCAATGTACTTCATGACCCTATTTCCTATCCCTTCAGAAGTGGCAGAGGTGTTAGAAAGAAAGATGAGAGACTTTTTGTGGGTGGGGTGGAAGGATTCTCACAAATATCATCTTGTTAACTGGGGGCAGATTTGTAAACCTCTATCTCAAGGGGGGTTGGGGTTAAGGAGATTAAAATCTTTCAATCTGGCTCTTCTAGGAAGTTGGCTTTGGAGGTTTGCTAATGAACCTGATAACCCATGGAGAGTAGTCATAGCAGAAAAATATGGGCTGGATGAAAGGGGCTGGGGAAGCGGTCCACCCATGTCTACCTTTGGCTGCAGTCTATGGAAAGGTATAAGCAAAGCTTCTGACCTGTTCAGAAGGGAAGTCAGATTAAGGATTAAGTTCTGGTTGGATGCCTGGACAGGGGAGAACTCCCTAAAGGAGATGTTTCCTACACTGTTTAATGTGGCTGAAGATAAAGAAGCAGTGGTAGCAGATTCATTTGTGTTAAGGGAGAATGCCGTTTGCTGGGCCCCTACCTTTAGAAGGGACTTCAATGATTGGGAAATTCAGCAGGTGGGGAATCTCTTGGTGTTGCTTCAGTCCCAGGTGCTGAATTTACAACCTGAGGATGCTCTAGTATGGAAGGGGAGCAAAAGTGGGGAGTTCTCAGTTAAATCCTTCTACAATGCCGTAAGGGGAGGTTTTGAAACACCCTTCCCAATCCGGGCCATTTGGGGCACAATTCTCCCTCTAAAGTAAAATTTTTTGCATGGGGGGGCAGCCTTGGAGAAATTTCTAACCAAAGAGATGCTGGCAAGAAAAGGTTTTAATTGCAGTGGCCTGAGGTGCAGCCTCTGTGGTTGGGAAACAGAATCAGTAAATTATCTGTTTTTATACTGCACTTTTGCCTCAGAGATCTGGAGCCATTTCTTAAGAAGTCTGAAGGTAAGTTGGTGTATGCCAGCCTCAGTTAAAGCCTGTATGGAGGTTTGGCAGATCCGAGGGATGACTAAGAAAGGAAAATTTTGCTGGTCTTCCATTCCCTTAGCAATAATGTGGGCAGTGTGGTTAGAAAGAAATAGTAGGGTCTTTGATCTTAAATCCTCTACTGCAGCTGAAGTCATCAATTTGGCTGTAGGTTTAGTTAGGAGTTGGTTATCTATACTTACTGAACTTAAAGGGGATATTTCTGACTGTAATATTTTGAGGGTGGACTTTTTTTGAGGTCCTTCTGTTTTGATGTGTACAGCTTCTCATTGTACAAAGGACCTTTATATCAATACAATGATACTTTACCTTTGCTCAACAAAAAAAAAAAAAAAACAGTGATAGAAAGAAAGAGAAAAAAGTGTTTCTTGGAGAGAAGAGAAGAGGAGAAAGAGAAGAAGAGACGGGAGAATCCAATAATGATCTGGCTGCCCCACTCATTTATCTTATATACCCACAAACTAAAAGAGATTACAATGACTAATATACCCTTAATTGGGTGGTTTCTGCTAATAACATAAAAACAGTCGTTAAAAGTAAACATAAACTAATGGGCCTTGGGCCCATTAACAGTAACTAGTGATGCTGCATAAAAAGGAACAAAAACCTGCTGAGTATCTCAACAAAAGGTGTGATGATTTAACCCCATTTGAAAATCATAATGCCCTCATTGATTTGTTGGAGGATGATCTGAAGTTGGATGTGGTGACAATTTCACTCCAAACAAAAGCTGGTTTGCTCTTGATTTCAAAATGGAGCCCATGCTCTAAAGGAAAAGATTTGTTAATTTTGAAAAAAGTAATAGTGAGAATTCTGGGCTTGCCGTTTCATCTGTGGAGGTGAGATTGCTTTGACTCAATTGCTGCCACTTGTGGAAGCTGTTTATCAGGCTGGTTCTTACAAGAGTTACAAGACCTAAAGGTATCTCTAGAAATATCAAACTTTTCTTTGATGGAAGTTGGTTTTCAGTGTGGCTTGTGACATTCATGGAAGCTAGGTTGTGGAGGGAAGGTCACAGGGAGGAAGACGAAAGGTTGGAATTCGAAGTGCTATGTGGTAGGCAATGGTTGGTGGATTCAATTGAAAATAGACTCCCCGTGGAGATGGAAGGTCAAGGCTTTGAGTTAACAAAATAGGAGTGTGCAATCCCATTAAATGAACTTAAATACAGGGAACAAGAAGAGACATAGGGTAGGGCTTCGGTACAAATGTTAGAGAGAAATAGTCTCGTACTTGTGGCTTCAAAGGTTGGGAAAAGACAAGGATTGAAGATGAGAGGTTGGGGGCTTCTGAACCCAAGCATATGAACCGGGTTTATCGGACAGGCCAAACCAGCACATGTGACATTTGAAGTTGTCACATGCAAGATATTTTGGGGAAGGAGAACCTTTGGGCCCAGGTTGATTCTGGGCTAGGGGTAGAATTCAATATAGAAGCATCAATGCCTTTGTTGAACTGTGATAAGGAGGGCGAAGAAAACAGAGGAAAAGGTAGGGCTATAAGGAAGATTACAGAGCTGTCTTCACCAAACTCGGGGGGTTTTGTTTGGTGTAGACTGAAATTTGTGGGAAATGAGGATGCCTTGCTTGTGAAAGGAAATAGTGATGTCATTTTCTCAGAAATTAGGGAAGTCATGGAGGATGGTCAGCGAAGGGAAGGAGAAATTGCAATTGCAGAGATTCGGGGTGAAAGCAGTGTTAGATTCTTGATAATGAGGTCTCAAGGAACGCATTGATTGGCGGTTGAGAAGAGTTAACTGGGACATTAGTAGAGGTTCAAGTCGAAGGTAATAATTTTCCTCGAGTAGGAGGCGAAGAGGGAGCTGTGGAGACAGAAAATTAAGATGGGGGAGGGAGACCAATGAAGCTGATGCCAATGGAGATAAGGGTCTTGGAGGTACAAAGATGCAATGCAATGAACTCTGGGGAGATGAAGGAGACAGGTGGGTGGGGAAATAGAGGGGAAGGTTGTGAAGGGGAAGATGAAAGAAAGAACAAGTATAGAACTATGCCTTTGATGAAAGATAAAGATTTGGAGGAGGGAGAAGGCGATAAGGGGGACTCAAGTGATGAAGACATGAGGGTCAATGAGACTCATGAAGTAGCAAACTCTGCTGACTTGGAGACGGTAGTGGACAAAGAATTGGAGGTGAGTAAGATCTTGGGGTTGTTCTTTCTAGGGGCGAGGAATATGCTAGAAAGGCATTCAGAGAAGTGGAAGAATCCTAAAGCATTCAGACGAAGCTTAAAAAAAAAGATGTTCGGATGGATGGGGAGAGGGGGACCCCCTGTGTAAGTTGTTCTGATGGTAATGTGAGAAGGCTTAAGTCTGGAGTGAATCCCAACAGAGTTTACAGGACTGAGGATGCTGACCGGCTGTTCGAGAAAAATGCAGTTTTGGAGTTAGAAAGGATAGTTTCTGACCAAAAGGATGTACAGTTAATGAAAAGGCTCCTGTTGCAGCAAGAAGAGTTAGAAGACAGAATCTGCAAAAATTTTTCTTTGTTGCTGATAAAAAAAAAAGACAGAATCTGCAAATATCAGTTCTTTCAAAGGTTTTCGCCAGACTGAGAGGAGGTTTATTTGGTCTGAGACCAGTCAAAAAGGTGAAAAAAACAAAGAAGGTTATGGAGAAAAGCAATGAGGTTGCTTTCCTCAAGGACGAGGTGAATTTGCGGAAGGAATTACGGCGATTCTGTAGTAAGTTGGAAGTCAGAAGATTTCTGATTGGTTATAGGGTTGTTGTTTTGTTTAGGTGGGGTAGTGAGGCATTGGGTTGGGATCTGTAACTATATTATTGTTGCTTATGGTTCATGCAGGGGTGGGTGGCTGTGCTTTTTTTATGGTTTCTCAGGATTTGATTGAAGGGCTTTCTTTGTCCGTTTTTGGTTTCATTTTATGTTTCCAATGCCTTGGGGCCGGGTGATGATTCATCACCTTTCATGTGTTTTTTTTTTCATATTTTCTTGAATAAATTTTATTTTTTATTTATCTTAAAAAAAAAGAGGTTGAGATTCTTTTGTTGATTTGCCCATGGATGCAGATACCTGGTTAATGAGCTGCAAGAAATCAAAGTTGTGAACATGATGAACAGGGTATAACAACTAATTTTCTTTTCATTTCCTTATTTTTTTTCTCATTGGATATACTGTAAGTCATTAACAATTCTTTATTTTTTTGGTTAATTTTATTTTTTCTTTTGCAGGAGTTTGTTGTGGAATTACTAAAATCAATAGTAGAATTAGTGACATACAGTGATCAACATGACCCATCTATTTTTGAGTAATAAATAATTAGTTTATTAATTGTGGTTTCACATCCTCATCATTGTTATATCATAGCGAATGTATGATTTGCATTTTCTTTCTTTGGCAGGTCATTTATGGAATATCAAATTTTAGCAGAGTTTCTTCGCATACTAAAGATCAGTAGAAATTCAATCATTGAAGCTCCTTTGCTTCACTATCTAAGTATAATGATCCAAAACCTGGCTAGTGAACATGCAATCTGTAAGATGCCAAATGCAATTAATATCCACCTCTTCCTTTTTTGTCTTCTCTTTGTTTGGTTTGTTTCTCTCTTCTTTTTGGGCATGTTAATTTGTGTTCATGTTCTTTTCTTTGGCATTAATGTGCATTCTTCTTGACTGATCAACCTCATAATCTCACGTTATCAGTACAAAGGATTGTTTACTTGAGTAGTGGGCATGACCTTGTCTCTTTCCCTCTTTGATATTTAACAGCAATTTCATTAATATGAAAACCTATATATAAAAGTTTACATTCTGTTTTTAAAGAGGCACCTAAACCTCTCCCCAATCATGTATATTACAACTTAATCCCAGAACATATTGTTTCTCATAACTCCTTGTTTGGCTAAATTATCAGTCGAGTTAGCCAATATCTGAACCCACTGCACTATAACTGTCATGCTCCTTTTCCTCCATATAATCCTTGTACTTTCGTTTTTGTACATATAAAGAGTTTCATAATTCACCAACCATCCTATTTCCACCTTTAAATCCCCTTCTATTATTCATTTCTTTTGCTCTCTTCACACCTTCCAAGATTCCACCATAGCCATCACTTCTCCCTAGGGGTGCAAATGGATCGGATCATGATCTGATCCGATTCGATATTCTCAGATCCGGATAGCCCTGTTTCGGATTTTTGGATTGGATCGGATCGAATTCGGATCACCCTTATCCGATCTGAGAAGATTCGATCCGATATATATGTTATTTATTTATTTATATAAATATATATGCTATTTATTTGTTTATTTATAAATATATTATTATATTGCATTTTTGTAAATTTGTTATATTATTTATTTATTTTTTTATGAAAAACATGTATATATATGATGAAAATAGTTGAAAAGATACTTGTAGTTTTTGTTTTTCTTTATTTAAATTGTTATGTTTTACTTTTCTTTTAATAATTTATTATTTTTATAAAAATCTAAGCAGATTGGACCAGATCCGAAAACCCGACTTCCTCATCAGATTTGAATTCAGATCCATGTTTATCAGATCCGATTAGATCTTTGGATTGGATCGGATCTGCAAGTAGCAGTGTTGGATCGGGTTCAGATATACCCTGATTCGAATATGATCCGATCCATTTGCGTCCCTATGTTATGGGCCCGGGAATAGGATCTCGTCACGGGTTGGTCCACGGGGAAAACCTCTTGTTTTCCCTTGTTCCTCCCCTTTCTTGAAGAACTTATCTTGCCGCCCTAAACGGTGATTTGTTCAAGAGATCACCAACTCTCCTTTGTTCTCTTTCTTGACTGAAATTTTCAATATCCTCATTCAATAATGGGGTCTCCTTAAATAGGAGATTACAAGAGTCCTAATCAAAGGGAGTCTCCTTGCTGAATAGGGAGACTTCCAGTTCTATCTTGCTAAGGATAAGATAAGCTAATCCTAATCTGATAAGCTACTAACAAGATAAGATAAGAGCAATAGAATAAGATAAGAACAATAAGATAAGAACAAGCAAGATGATCTAATCTAATCTAGATAAGGCTGCTGTTGCCGAACTAGGTAGGATGAGCATCATTGAATCACTGCTGCTGCTGGCGGTGGGCCAGGTGCCTGTTGCTGCCGGCGGCGACGGTACGTCTTCCCGAGGAAGGCATCCATAACACCCTACTTCTCCCCTCAATTAGTCCCGAACTCCAATCAGCCCTGAAATTTCAACATGACTTTCTTCATTTCTCAAGTGTTCTACCTCCTTCCATTTCCTTATTATACCATTGTACTTTATTCAATGTCTTGCATTACTAATCCCCTATGGTTTACCTAATGTTTTTGAGCTGCAGACTATTGTTTCAGCAATGACTATATTAACAACATCATACTGCACCAGTACAAGTTTGATGGGGGGGATCTGGTTCCCTATTACGTATCATTTTTAAGGTTGCAATCTAATATTCTTTATCCGTTCATTGCTGTTGGTTCTGTGTAGAATCCTGTGTGAATTCCAATTGATTAGAAGATATATAAATAACTTAGTGCTGTTATGTTTTTCATTGTTTTTTGTATAACTATATGTTAAAAAAGTAGAAGAATGCTTCTCTTACTAATTTTTCTCTTGCTTATATCAGAACAGTTAGTGGAAAACTGAACAGAGATACTCTTTGCCTGCTTGTAAAGGTTCAAGAGGTAAATAAAACTTCACATGCTGGATTTCTTCTTTGATGTGGTTGATGCACTAATTTTGTCATAGGTTGATACTTATTAGGGTTTGACTATGATACCAGAAGAACTTGTAATCAATAAACCGGTATCATAAAATTGGTAACCAATCAGGTGGTATTTATTAGAATTCACCAGGGGGGTTTGATTGGTCAAAGCTCTTTTGGAGTTCTGGTATTATGTTGCCGGCAGCGTTGATTTTTCCATTATACTCGCGGGTGTACCCTTAACATTTTACCATATCTTAGTTTTTTTTTTAATGCATATGGATGAGTTCCTGAGTCCAATTTGGGGAGTAAGGCCTTTATTTTACAACTTCGTTTTATAGAATATATAAAACAATGAGCATATAGGTTGTTAAATTACTAATTTTTGTGAGAAGGTTGTTTCTACTTTTTTTATGTTAATTTGATGTTGTTTTATCTGTGTTTTTTATTCTACTTTGTATCTTTAAGGGTCTGGCCTCAAACATTTTTTTGATAGATAACAGAAATGTTTCAGTAAAATGATAAGGACAATGCTACATTTGAAGTAGAACCCAAAAGATGGTAGTTAGCCACAGCTAACCACAACACAACATACAAGTCTGTGTTTTGAAGCCATCGTTGACTTGGATGGTTGAACTGTTCGAACCGTCAACTGGCCATGATTCCGGGTCTGGTTTACCTAAAACTTGGCTTTTGACCAAAAACCAATGGACCTATGGTTTAGGCGAATTGGTTGATTCAATCTCATGCTATTCCAATACAAAGCAACTCAGCGTCAGTGGTCAGTCAAAAAAGGAGATAGCTGCAGGTTGCGGTCCAGTGTCAAGAAGGAGAGAAGGCATTGTCTAGGTTGGAGGTGGAGGGTGAGACAATGGTGCTGAATGTAGAGCAAATAGCAGTTGCAGTTGGGTAAATAGAAAATTCAAATGGCTGAAAAGAGAAAAGAGAAGACACCTCTATGCTTTGGAGCTACAGCAATGAAAAGAGAAAATTCAAATGGCTGATCAAGAACATGGAAGTTCAGTGTACTTGGGTAAAGAGAAATTCAAACTCCTTTGCTGATGGATTAGCTAGGCAAAGGGTGAATAGGGATTCTGGTTTCTGTGCTCAGTTGTAATTGTTCTTTTCCTTTTGGGTGCCTGCCCACTTTCTTGGGGAGTTAAGATACTTTAGCTCCTCTACTTTGTAAGCTTATTCCTATTTAATGAAAACTGTTGTTATTGATCAAAAAAAAAAAAAAGCAGTTGCAGTTGATGGTGATGTAGGCAGACAATTAGTGCAATGGTCTATGATGTTGGCAAATGACCGAAATCTTTTAGACAATTTGAGTTTGACTTGGGTGGATGAGATTGAGGTGCTAAGGAAAATGGGGGCGGAGTTTTAGATTGTGTGGCGAAGCATATCAAAGATATCAATCTATTTCTTGGTTTGTCATTTGACAGGCATGAACAAGATGATCATCATGCAAGCATGGTTTTGTTTCTAGTGACAAAAGGAGTTCGTCAGCAATCAGTTGGTGGAGGAAGTTTGGAGTTGGAGAGGTAATGGCTATATCTGGAAAGTGTCATAGGAGGCGTGAGATGGCATGCTTTTGATTTGGGACATAAATGTGTTTGAGGTTGTTGATTTTGTTATTTGGAAGTTTGTGGTGGTTGCTAGGTGCAAAGTTGTTTCAGATGGGAGGAGTGGACCTGCATAGGTCTGTATGGCCTGACAGTCAGTTGCCAAAAGAAGGAACTGTTGGGGTGAGAACGAATCCCTTTCCCAAAATTTTGGGGCCTCCTAGTATGCATTGGTGGGAACTTCAACGTTGTTAGATTTGCCTTGGAGAAGAAAGGTAAGAGAAGAATTATAGTTGATATGGTGGAGTTTGGGGATAGTTTGCAATTGTTAGACTTGCTAATGAAAGGTGCAGCTTAAACTTGAGCAGTTTTAGGGGTGATCCTGCTATGTCTATATTGGATAGATATTCATTGATTTCAAGTGGGTGACATGTTCCTGAACTCAGTGTAGGTGGCTCTAGCCCATCCAACCTCGGACCATTGTCTTCAGATTTAGTGTTGTTGATCTCAAGCCTGGCTCTTTTAAGAAATAGATAATGTTTTTCGAAGTTCTAGGTTTTTATTAAAAGTTAAAGGAGTGGTGGAATGAAGTCCAAGTGGCGGGGTTTGCTTGCATGAGGTTTTGGAAGAAGCCAAAACATTTGAATATTAATATCAAAGCTTGGTGCAAGGAGGAGGTGGGTTGTGTGTCTCATAGGAACAAAAACCTTGGAGTTGATTCAAAGGCTCGATGCAAAGGAGGGGGGAGGTCTTAGTGAAGTAGAGAAGAGGCAAAGAGAAATTGCAAAAGATGATCTTTTTTGTCTTGCATTGATGGAAGAAATCTAATGGCAACAGAAATCTAAGGTCCAATGGCTTAAGGAGGGTGACATATATGCTTCATTGACAAAATAGCAAGTGTGATGAGTCTAGTATTAAGGTGGGGAATCGAGGGTTTGAAGGAGAGTTGGAGGTTTCAGGCGCTGACTGTGCTGTGGTTAGCTACCACAAGGAACTATTTGCAACACATGAATACATGATTTGGTGAGGCCTAGTCTGGATGGAGTTTCGTTTTGATGCATTATCAGAGGCAGTGAGTGTGTGGACGGAATGCAAATTTGAGGAGAATGAAGTTTGGTAAATCATCAATGACCTAAATGGAGATGAAGCCCTTGGCTTGGACGGGTTTTCCTTTGGTTTTTACAAGAAATGTTGAAACTTCATTAAGGTGGGCTTGCTGAATGTGTTGCAAGAATTCTATGTTAGGCTGGGAATTCCCCAAGGCAGTCAATTCAACATTCATCTTCTTAATCCCCAAGAATTATGGGGCTTCTGATTTGAAGGAGTATAGACCCATAAGTTTAGTAGGAAGCATCTTCAAGATCATTTCAAAGGTGTTGGCTAATAGGTTGAGAGAGGTCTTGGGCAATCTCATTTCTTCATCTCAAGGAGCTTTTGTAGATGGTAACCATGCATTGGCAGGGGCTTCATGCACTAGGCTGCCCTTTTGCTGTGTGCTGGGAAGTGTAGAAGGAAAGAAATATGAGAATTTTTGAGGACAAAATGAAAAGCAATGAAGAATTAGGGGCGTTGATTAGCTCAAGGATAACTGGCTGGGTTCTACCTACTTCTTCCAGAATTTGAAGTCTTTGGTAAAGAAGACTATGCAGCTGATTTTTGGTGTACTTTGAATTTTTAACTTGGTAGATTGAGATGCTTGTTGTTTTATTTGCTATATTTCAGTTTATATGTTGTTGGGTGACTCCTTATCACATTGACATTGTACCTTGTTTTCTTTTTCAATAAGTTTTCTTCTATATTTATCTTCAAAAAAAAAAAAAAAGATTGGGAATTGGAAGAGATTACTTCTCTACTTAATCTTTTAACTACAGTGGGGATCAGCCTTGGTGCTGAGGAGACGTTGAAGTGGATTGTTTTCAACAATGGGATATTTTCAGTGAAGTCCTCCAAACTGACTGAGTTTGAACAGCCTGATGTAGAGTGGAAGTGGGTCCAAAGCTATTTTGTTCATCTAGTTTGCGGTTTTGGATGAGATATTAACAATTGACCATCTTCAGACCAAAGAGGGATGATCTATGGAACTGTTTCACCTTTTCTCTTTTAATGATTTATGGAGGAACTGGGCAACACTAGCAATCTGCTCTTCTTTAAAGGACAGGGTTTCTACAAACTGCTTTTCTCTTTTAATGATTTATGGAGGAACTGGACAGCAGTAGCAATCTGCTCTTCTTTAAAGGACAGGGTTTCTACAAACTGCTTTTCTCTTTTAATGATTTATGGAGGAACTGGGCAACACTAGCAATCTGCTCTTCTTTAAAGGACAGGGTTTCTACAAACTGCTTTTCTCTTTTAATGATTTATGGAGGAACTGGACAGCAGTAGCAAGCTGCTCTTCTTTAAAGGGCAGGGTTTCTACAAACTGCCCCCCCCCCCTCCGGCTTGGGAGCACCTAGGGCAACCCAGGGCCCTCTGGCTTGGGAGGAGTTCTATGAAATGAGGCTGGAGAGGTTATCCTTCTCTACTCTAGTCCATTGGGCATTGGGAATTATGTCAAAGCAGAATTGCTAGCTGCCATACAAGAAGTCCTTCTTGCAATTGAATTGGGTGTGGAGCAACTACTGATTGAAGGGGACTCTAAGATAGTAGTGGAGTGGCTAAATAATTAAGAGGAGGTCGTATGGATTTACAAGAATGAGATAAAGAAATATAAATGGCTGACAAGGAATATGTCTGTTCTAGTACAGTGGGTAGGGAGATCATCGAATGCCTTCGCTGATATTTTGGCAAAACAAGGGACAAATAGGGAAACATTGTTTTGGGCTAAATTGTAATCTTGTAATAGCACTCATGTACTCTTTTCCATAGTTCTTATGGTTTATGTGTTTTTTGGGTTCCCTTTTTTGGAGAGGCAACATCTCGTGCCTTCCCAAGGGTTTGCAATTTCTTCTTGATTTTAATGAAATGTGAAATATTATTTATCAAAAAAAAAAGGAGACAGCGGATCACCTTCTTGTCCACTGTAATTTGTCCTACACCATTTGAATGCATTTTTTTAAGCTTTTTGGTTTTCAAGTGGTTGTCCTGAAGGAATTAGGCGTGTTGGTAGCAACTTGGCCAGTAAGGCTTTGAACAAGAAGGGTAAGATCTTGTGGAATCTAGTCCTTTTTGTTGTCTGTTGGTAGATTTGGTTGGAGAGAAATAATAGGGTTTTTAACAACTCAACAAAAACAGTGGTGGAAGTTATCATTGTTGAGGTTTTAGACAAATTGTGTAGTCTATAGTGGTAGTTTTTGATTATTTATTGTTTAGATAGGAAGTGGGGACTACAACACTCTTGTTGGGTCCTTTTTGAGAAGTTATTTTAATTGTTTTATGCTGTTTTATGTGTTAGCTGCCCTATAAGGGCATATTGGTTTTTGTACTCTTTATTATTTTAGATTAGAAATAATAATGAACAGGGCGGCCAGCACTATTGCTCTCTTTTCTCTCTCAAATCCCTTCTCTTCCTTTTCTTCTTTCTTCTCTTCTTCTTCTTCAAGAAATATTCTTTTCTTTTACAGATTTTTTTTTATTTCAGCACCTTTCTACTTGGTGTCAGAGCAAGGTTAGGGTTTCTTGAAGTTTTTTCATGCAGTCCTAGATTAGCCAATTGCACGAGGAGATAAAGGGCTGATCGATCTACTTCAGATTGCCCAGTTCTTGGATTTTTTGGTGTGATATAGTCATTAGGAGGGCGATTTATGTTATGGCATCAAATCAGGAATAACTAGAGTGCGGGGAAGAGTCCTAGCCAAGTTGGACTCTTCAATTTTGATTTGATCTTGGGCGCTCAGGTATTGTTGGACTTTTCTAGGTATTCTATAGGTGAGGTTAGGTTTCTGGAATTTTTTGCGCCTTCTGGAGTGGCCGATTCACTTTTCTCTCCAATGGGAGATAGTGAGAGGAGAGAGATTTCTCTCCGAATAGGGTTTTCTTCTTCTGGAAAGGTTTGTTACCTTTGTGTGTGAGATTGATTTGATCTTGGAGGCTCTCTACCTAATTATTTTTTGCTTTTGAACTGTTTGAAGTAAAATGGAGAGTTGGAGTATTGAGTAGAAGTCCACCGATAACATGGGTTTGGGTGTTGGAGGTAGTAGTGATATTTTTGGGTCTAGAATTATTACTACAATGGAGTTCGATGGTACAAATTATCTAGAATGGGCATAATCAGCCAAGATGGCCATCGGTGCTCGTGGGAAATTACGGTACATCACTGGAGAGGAGAAGAAACCTGATACAGATCCCTCCCAGTGGGTACAGGAGAATTACATGGTGATGACCTGGCTGTGTAACTCTATGTTACCTCACATTGGTAAAAATTTTGTGGGCTAATACTGCAAAAGAGATTTGGGATGGAGTGACTGAAACCTATTCCTAGAAACAAAAGAGCCTTTCAGTTAAGGAAACAATTCTTGAGTGCCCTTAATGGGGTGGCCCACACTAAAGAAACAATAAAAAAACAAGTAACAGGCCCATAACTAAGGTCCACTATTCAAAGAACATAAACAAAAAACATGACTTGAATAAAATCAAGAAACTAAGGCCCATTCAACCCATTCTCACTACACATTCAAATAAAAAAAAGTGCAATGCACATGGGAAAAAAACAACTAAAGCTCTCTCAAGAAATAGGGAACATATTTGCACTATACATCAAATTCCTTCCCAGCCCACTTTTAGCCAAAGCATCAGCCACAACATTGAAGTTCCTAGGGATCTATCTGAAGCAGCAATGGAGGTAATCAGACAAATCAAAAGTTTCTTGCAAGAAATGGGTGATCCTCCAAGGGCCTTCACTGTTCCTTTTGGCCCACCCAATGGTGTTTCTAGGAATCTAGAATCTCCTTCCACTAGTAAAGACTTGACCTGTAGAGTTTTAGCTAATTGTAGACTCATCAAAAGAGCTTGAACCTCAGCCTCAGAGGCATCTTGGACTGAAACAGGGCCACTGAAAACCCAAGAAATAACCCCGACTTGTAAATAACTCCCCCAATTCCTGCCATCAGAGGACAGTTAAAGGCTCTTCTTAAACTGCCATCAAACCTCAGAGTGTAAGCACAATCAGGCCTTGGGGAAATGGGAAGCTGAGGGCCGAAAGTAGATGACTGAAGGATCTCTAACAAATTCCTGCTTAAGTCTCCATAGTGATAACTGGTGAAGGCTTTGTTTGTCTTTATCCAACAAATCAGCTGAGTCATAATCCTTTTCTTTAAACAAACTTCCGAGGCAGCTTTATTTTCAAAAGTCCTTTTATTACTTTCCTTCCAAATGCATCGCATAGTAGCATGAACTGCAGTCTTCTGGAAAATCCTATCCCTTTCACCCAAATTTCTACCTTTCCATTGCAAGATAAACTCACCAACTGTATTAGGAGGGACTCAAGAGAAGCTGCCTTTATAAATAAAGTCTAGAAGAAATTTCCATACACTATGGGCCACCCGACAATTTATCAAGAGGCGTCAATAGTTTCTCCATTTTCAAAGCACATAATGCAGACATGAGGAGAGATGCACCACTGCCCTAGTCTTTTCTTCTGCAAGATATCACAATTATTCATCCTGCCACAAGCTGCCTTTCACAAGAAAAAGGATATTCTCAAAGGAACTGAAGAAAACCAGATCCTACTTGATGGGAAAGAGGAAGGAAAGGACCTTTAGACCAGGCTAAGGAAGAAATATTTGGCAGAGAAGGAGCCATGAGGGGTGCCAGACCAAATTAACTGATCATGGGAGGAAGAGGAGAGATGCACATTAGACAGCAGCAAAAGAATGAAGGACAACTCATGCGACTCAAGGTCATTTAGGTTTCTTCGGAAATTAAAATTGAAGGAAAGATTGTGTATATCATTGGTTAAGTTTGAAGACACTAGGACTTGTTTATCACACACCAGGTTGAAAAGGTTAGGGAAGGAGCCAGACAAGGGGGAAGGATCCCGCCAAAGATCTGTCCCAAGTTTTATTAGTTTACCATCTCCTAGACCGAACCTAAGGTTCAGTTGGAAAAGGGGAAGAGTTTGGATAATACCTTTCCAGGGGCTGGCTGAGGAAGTCCTAGCCAAAGGGAAGCTACCCCTATCAGTTCTTCTCCTCTCATGCTTGCTGCAAATTACAGATGCCCATAGGGATTGTGGTTCCTTCTTTTATGTCAAAATCCACTTGCCAGGAAGAGTTGTGTTCCTCTCAGAGGTGCAACCAATACCCAAGTGGGAAGTCCTCTCCACCTTCCCATAAGAAGTCTGTTTCTCTAGCTGATTTCTTACTCTTGCTGGAGAAGGAGCCCTTGATCAAAGTAAGTCTACAACCTTTTGGAGATATAATTTTTTCCAAGTATCAAGTCTCTTCTTGCATTTTTCAATGACTGGAGCCCAAGTCTTGGATTACCTTCCAAAGGTAAGCCAAGATATTTTATGGGCCAAGGTTCCACCTTACAGCCCACTGTAGTGCTGTACTTGACTAACCTTTGATGAGGCACATTAATACCAGTAATACTGCTCTTCCCTAAGTTGATTTTTAACCCTGTCACTACTTCATAGTAAGTCAGCACCCTCTTCAAGTTGAGGAGGAATTCCAACTTGTGCGCAATATAGAAGACAGTGTCATGTGCATACTGAAGATGAGTCAAATGTTCTCCCTACAGTTTTCCTAAGTCATAAAACCTAGTGTTAATTTTGGTTGCTTCAAATGTGTGGATACAGATATAGATGGGGACTGCTGGAATTCTTTTAATTGTTATATATATATTATTGAAGAAAAGGTAAAGCATTGATTGTATTCACTCAAAAAAGGTCATGTACTTGTATAACCATGTAAAGTGAATCTTTACAAGATAGTATTCTGATCACTCCTGCCCTGCTGCCAGGGTTACAAAAACAAAACGGCAGTATGCAAATAACTTTGATGGGCAACTCCTTTGAATTGCTCTGTTGCAGCCAACCAAGAATGGATGGTGCCCAGAATCTTCCTGATTTGATCCTCCAAGGAGCTACTCCTATTCTGAAATATTCTCTGGTTCCTCTCCTTCCAAATGGACCAAGACACCGCAGCTGGAATAGTGTTCCACATTTTTCTAACTCTTTACCCTTCTCATTTAAGCCTTTCACTTTCCAAGAGAATAAATGATCTTATTGATAATATATATTTGATAGTAATAAGGAAGTATTCATTGATTGGAAATAAATGATACTGAGAAGGTGAAGAGATATCACTGTGAATAACAAAAGGAACTAAAATTACATGAAAACTAATCATATGTTACCTACCATGCACATACTTTATACTGTTGAGTGCTAAGTCAGCTTTAGTCCTATGTTTCTTATAATTTGTAGGCATGCATCTTTGAAATTCTGTTTTGCTTAAACCTAGGGCATGGTTTCACAATGTTTTGACACTTTACCGTTAATAGGACACTGTAGTCTCATTTCCACTGTACAATGAAGCACTTAAATTTGCTTGCCATGAAGAAAAGATGATCCAGACAGCAGTACGTGCAGTGATTCTAAATATATACAATGGTATGTTATTATTATCTTTTTTTTGTTTCTGAAGTGAAGAGAAGAATATGTAAAGTATTGGATGTAAAAGTTGTTTTCTGGTATTTTGCAACAATATCCTTTTATTATGCAGTTAGCGATGAAATGGTCTATAAATTCATAACAACTCCTCCAGTCTCAGAATATTTCTCTGACTTGGTTCTGAACTTGAGAGGGAAATGCCTCCATCTAGATGCACTTGTCCATGCTACAAAGTATGCTTCTTTCTATTTTTGTAGAGAAATCTATGTAGCTTTAGTACATCTTACCTGGTTCCATCTGAAGAATCTTCTATATTATGGTGAAATTGTTGAATTTGATGCAGAGATGCTTCCACTCATGAAATGAGGAAAAAGTTGCTTTTGGAAAGTGATAAATTTGTGGACGATCTCTACTACTGCAAGGACATTATCCTTGTAGGTGAAAGTTGCTTGGGTAGACTGATGATCAGAAATCTTCTCAGCTTATTGGTTTTACCTATTCTACTACCCTTGCTGCAGATCAGCGAAACAGTTATGAGATTCTTTTCATCTGCAGTATTCCCTGTCAGAACTTTTTTTTTTAACTTAATAAGAATTCACTATGTATACCAATTGTAAATTATTTATTGATGTTTCCTTTATTATTTTCAGGAAATACAGATTTCTGCAATCACTGCCCTGTATGTAGTTTGTCGTCTTCTTCAGGTTGTTGATAGCAAAGAGTTGGTTAATTCTGTGGCATTTATAATTCTATTTCCTCATCTGGTATTGAGTAGGAGAGGTCCTATTGAAAGGGAAAGAACTGGTGATACCAGTCCTAGTTCTTTTGATGACTATTTAAGTGAAATGGAAAAGTTAAGCAGTTCCAGTTCTGAATCAGAAGCAGCAGAAGACAATAATAAGAACCCCCTCTTCAGGCATTTGTCACAGTACTTTTCATCTAGTTTTCAATGTGTCAGCTATGTTATGGATGACATAAAGAGGCAAAGGTTGGTGTAAATAGGATATTTAAATTCTATGTTTTGTTGCTTATAAGAGAAACTGTGAGATACATCATTTGCTTATTTATTATGAATTTATGATTATGAGGAAAGGAAGTTCTCTTTGTGCAGGGCTGGAATACTTTCACTGATTTTCTCTGAAAGTCAAAATCTATTGCTTGCCTCTATGATGTTATTGCTAGTTCTATCAGAAAGCAAAGGTATCTTTAAAAGAGTTTATTGTTATGCCCTCTCAGAAATATGCTAACTTACTGCATTTATTATTGTCTACTGTATTCATGCAGAGCTTGATTCTTTATTCTCTTCTATGCTGGGACTTCCACTAAAGAAGACAGGGGGGACACAAATGATGGTACATGCAATTTTGAGTTTCCCTTTGCTTTATGATAGCAAATTAATATTTCTTAGACCTATTTGATTAAATGTCTTTAATTTTATTACCTTATTCTGAAATCCTCTTGGCCAAAAGAGGTGGTTGTAGTGTATATAGTGATGTAATATTATTATTTATGTGCCGCAAGGGGCACATAAATTTATGCTGCCAGCGCATCTTTTTGGCTCTATAACATCTTTCTCTTCTTCTTTCTTCTCTTTTCCCTCCCCTTCTTCTCTCTTTCTTCTTTTCAACTGAATTCATGATATCAGAGCAGGGACAGTGCTCTGTAAATTATTTTCTTGATCGAAGCTCTTCTCTCTGCTTCCTTGGAGAACAGAGAAAATTAGGAAGTTTCATGAATAAGGAAACTGAAAAGACTGAGAATTGGAAAGGTGTAAATCAAGGTACCTCTCAGTGTGGGAATTCGAAACAGCAGGTCAGAATTTCAACGGGCAGATGTAAAACTTTCGCTCAGGCTTTAATGAAATCAAAAGGTGGAGGCGTGGCAGGTTCAAATTCAAACAAAGGGCCGGGGGTGGGAACAAATGGGAGAGAAGTAAATCCTGGTAGGCCTTCGAATGGTTTGGCCCAGTCACAAGAAAGACTAAATAGACACGTGACTTTAGTAGATAATGGGGGGGGGGGGCTGCTGGGCTGATTACTCCTGGCCCATTAAATATGATTCAAATGGGAGAAAATGGAGCTGTTGGACTAATTAGGCCTGGACCATTAAAAAGGAAGTCATGTGATCACGTGACTACAACAAGTGGTTGAATTTTGGGGGACCATTGTTTGGGTGTATCTTCTTCCAAACACAACTCTCCAGCTGCAGGCTCGATGAGAAGCTCTAGTTTGGGGCTTGCTTGGGTGCCGAGACTGGTTTCCTACTCTACTAGTCCAGAGAAGCTGAATCCAAGGTACAATAGAACAAAGAACAGAGGTGAAACATTAGATTCAGGGTGGATAAGTTTAGAGGACAGTACGGAAGGAGAGAACTCTGAAGGTTTTAGCCTTGGGAGTATTCAAAGCAAGTGCCACTCTCGACTTGGGGAAGAAGCAGAAGATGGCTTGAAACTACTGTTTGATGATGATCTCTTTACTGCACTTCCTAGACTCTCAGTCCAGCCTGACAAAGGGGAAGGATGATTAGGCACCACCTCGGGGGAAGTAAAACCTAAGACAAAGAATTGTGGATATCTGTGTTTGGAACAAGACCAAATATAGGATATTAGTAGGGGCTGTAAAGTCAACCCAGAACCTCTTAGTATAGCTACAAATTGCCCTGTTCCCACGGCTAACTATCTAGAGGGTGATTCTGAAGGTAACACCTCTGACTTTAGCCCAATGATTGAGATTAAAGGGTTGCCAAATCTTCCGGTAAATCCTATCTGTTTACAAAAGTCTCTTTTGAACCCGATTTTTGTTGCTACTAATGTTTCTTCTAGTCCTGTGTATGTTGTGCCTACAGGGGAGACTAACCCAACCTTGCAGTCTGCCAATCAGAATGATCAAATACAGGAAACAGAGGTGATTGGAGATTTAGTTTCAGAAAGTGTAGACATGGAAATCGGGGATAGAATTTGGGAGCTGTTTATGGAACTGTTTAGAATCCAGGTGGAGGAAGAGATCAGGGGCGGAGCCAGGGAATTTTTATAAGGGGGGCCAAAACCTAAATGAAATATAGATGGACCCATGGGGGGGGGCAACCATTGAGGTGGACAGTGGGGGGGGGG